TCTTTCTTTCTTTCTTTCTTTCTTTCTTTCTTTCTTTCTTTCTTTCTCTTTCTTTCTTTCTTTCTTTCTTTCTTTCTTTCTTTCTTTCTTTCTTTCTTTCTTTCTTTCTCTCCCTCTCTCTCTCTTTCTCTCTTGCTTTCTTCCTGATTTCTTGCTTTCTTTATTTCTTTCGTCCTTTTGCCTGATTGCTCTGGCCAGAAATTCCAATATTATGTTTAACAGGAGTGGTGGAAGAGGGTATCCTTGTCTCATGCAAGTTTTCAAGGGGAATTCTTCCAGCTTTCACCCATTCATTACGATGTTGGCTGTTGGTTTGTCATAGATGGCTGTTATTGTTTGGAGGTATGTTCCTTCAATACCTAGTTTACTGAGAGATTTTAACGTAAGCTGATGTTGAGTTTTATTGAAATATTTTTTCTAAATATATTGAGATAATTATGAGATTTTTGTCTTTATTTCTGTTTATGTGAATAACTACATTTATGAATTTGCATATGTTGAACCAACACTTCATCCCAGGGATAAAACCTACTGGATTGTGAATAATTAGCTTTTTAATGTGCTGCTGCATTTTATTTGCTAGTATTTTATTGAGAATTTTGACAATGATATTCATCAAGAATATTGGCCTAAAGTTTCCTTTTTTGTTGTTGTTGTTGTATCAGCCAGATTTTGGTATCAGGATAATGCTGATACCAGTTTGTTAGTAGGCTATTTATTACTGACTCAATTTCAAAAGTAATCAGGAGGAGAAAGAGAGAGGGTATGGTAATCCACATGTTGCAAGAGAAAAGGAGCAGGTAGGAGAATAATCAATTTTCTTTTTGTCTTGTTCTCAGTAAATTGGAATTTTACATAAGCTCATGTGAACATGGCATAGCTGTCTATGGAGATATTTTACCTTTCATCTGTAGCTGTCTGCTTAAGAACAGAAGGAAAGGTAGTTTCTTGCATGACTCAGCTTTCAACTTATTATTATTGTTTTTCTTTGGCATAGTGAATTGAGTTCTCAAGCTTTTATTTCCCTGTCACATATCTTTTGGGGTATTTTTCAAAATTCAAATTTTAAAACATGCACCCTGAAGGTTTTGATAGGAAAAAAATCCCTCCTCCTTGAATTTTTGAAATAGTTTCATAAGGAATGGTACCAGCTCTTCTTTGTTCATCTGGTAGAATTCAGCTATGAATCCATCTGGTCTTGTGCTTTTTTTAGTTAGTAGGCTATTTATTACTGACTCAATTTCAGAACTCATTATTGGTCTATTTAGAGATTCAGTTCCTTGCTGGTTCAATCATGGGAAAGTGTATGTGTCTAGGAATTTATTTATTTCTTCTATATTTTCTAGTTTATGTCCACAGAGGTGTTCATAATCTCTGAGTTTTGTTTGTAGTTCTGTGGAGTCAGTGGCAGTATCCCTGTTGTTTCTGATTATGTTTTTATAAGTTTGTCTCTCTATTTTTTCATTAGTCTAGTTAGAATCTATCTTTTTATTACTTTTAAAAATAAAACCAACTCCTGAATTAGTTCATCTTTTTAATGTTTTTTGTTTTGTTTTGTTTTGTTTTGTTATTGTTGTTTTTTCTGTCTCCATCTTCTTCAGTTCAGCTCTAATTTTAGTCATTTCTTGTCTTCTACTAGCTTTGGGATTTGTTTGCTCTTGGTTCTCTAGTTCTTTTGGTTGTGATGTTAATGTGTTGACTTAAGATGTTTCTGACTTTTTGTTGTGGGCATTTAGTGCTATAACTTTTCATATAAACATTGCCTTAGTTGGGTCCCAGAGCTTCTGGTATGTTTTTTCTTTGTTCTCATTAGTCTCAAAGAATTTCCAAATACCTGTCTTAATATCATTATTTACCCAAAAGTAATTTAGAAGTCATTGAATTTCCATGTCATTGGATAGTTTTGAGTGAATTTCTTAGTCTTGATTTTTAATTTGATTGTGCTGTGGTTTGAGAGGTTCTTTGTTATGATTTCAGTTATTTTTCATTTTCTAAGGAGTGTTTTAATTCCAATTATGTAATTAATTTTAGAGTAAGTGCCATGTGACAATGAGAAGAGTGTATATGCTATTGTTTTTGAGTGGAGAGTTCTGTAGTTATCTATCAGGTCCATTTGATCAAGTGCTGAGTTCAGGTCTTGAATATTTTTGCTAATTTTCTGTTTCAATGACCTGTCTAATATTGTCAGTGAGGTATGAAAATCTCTGACTACTATTATGTGGAGGTCTAAGCCTCTTTGAAGGTCTTTAACAACTTGCTTTATAAATCTCGGTCCTACTGTGTTGGGTATATATATATTTAAGATAATTAGCTCTTCTAGTTGAATTGAACCTTTTACCATTATGTATCACCCTTTTTTGTCTTTTTTGATCTTTAATGGTTCAAAGTCTTTTTTGTCAGAAACTAATATTGCAATCCTATCTTTTTTATGTTTTCTGTTGTCTTAGCCAATTTTCCTCCATCCCTTTATTTTGAGCCTATCTGTTCATTGCATGTGAGTTGGATCTCTTAAAGACAGCATCACAAGGTCTTGGTTCTTTATCCAGCTTGTCACTCTGTATATTTTAGCTGGGGCTTTTAGCACTTTTACATTTAAGGTTAGTATTTGTATGTGTGGATTTGATTCTGTCATCATGATGTTAGCTGGTTATTTTGCAAACTTAGTTTATTTGGTTGCTTTATAATGTCACTGGTCTATACATACTTCAGTGTGTTTTTGTAGTACTTGGTAATAGTCTTTCCTTACCACATTTAATCCTTGTTTCAGGAGCTCTTTTAAGGCACATCTGGTGGTAAGAAATTCCCCAGCATTTGTTTGTCTGGAAAAGAACTTATTTCTTCTTAGCTTATAAAGCTTGGTTTGGCTAGATTTGAAATTTTGGGTTAGAAATATTTTCTTTATAAAATGTTGAATATTGGCCCCTAATCTCTTCTTGCTTGTAGGGTTTCAGCTGAGAGATTCACTGTTAGTCCGATGTGCTTCCCATGTTTTTCTCATGGTGTATCTTACTGGAGTTTTTTGCATTCCCTGAATTTGAATGTTTGCCTTTGTAACTAGGTTCGGTAAGTTCTCATGAATGATATCCTAAACTATGTTGTCCAAATTGATTCCAATGTCCTCATATCATTCAGGAAAACAGTCAGTCATAGATTTGGCCTCATTACATAATCCCATATTTTGTGGAGGTTTTGTTCATTCCTTTTCTTTTTTTTTTTTTCGGTTTTTGTCTCATTATTTCAGAAATCTAGTCTTCAAGCTCAGTGATTCTTTTCTCCACTTTATCTCTTCTGCTATTAATACTTGTATTCACATTATGAAATTATGTATTGTGTTTTTGTGCTATATCAGGTTGGTTACACTCTTTTATCTATTGACTATTTTGTCTGACAGCTCCTGTAATGTTTTATTATGAGTTTCAGCTTTCTTGCATTGGTTTATAGTGTACTCCTTTAGCTCAGTGTACTTCATTTCTATCCAAATTCTGAATTCTAATTCTGTCATTTTAACTTCCTCAGTCTCTGCCCGATTCCAAACCCTTGTAGTCATTGGAGGAAAGAGGACACTCTGGTTTTTTGAGTTTTCAGCATTCTTGTGCTAATTCTTTTTCATCTTGGTAGGCTTATTTACCTTCAATATTTGAAGTTGCTGGCTTTTGTGTATTTTTCTTCCTTTAGCAGTCTGTGCACTTTTCTGTAGGTTTTCTGTGGTATGCTGGGGTTCCGCTTCAATGCCTAGTCACCTCAGATATTCCTGTACTTGCAGGTATCACCAGTTAAGCCTGTGAAGCAGCAAAGATGGCAGTCTGCGTCATCTTCTAGGAGGTCTGTCACAGGGAGGTACGGATATATTGCTGGCTCAAATGCACCTGCAGGAGGTGGCTGGAGACCCTGGTTGGGAGGTCTTGCCCAGTCAGGAGGAACGGGATCAGGGACCTGCTTTAAAAAGTGTTTTGATCACGTTTTCATAGACAACCTGTGCTGTGCTTGGGGACCACTTCAGCTCATGGTCACCTCAGACACTCTGAAGCCTGAAGGCTGGAACAGCTAAATCGCCCAAACAGCAAATTGACAGCATCTACAGAAATCATTTTATTTGAGTTATGTAGCAAGAACCCAACTAACTTATAAAACTTACAACTAACTCACTATTTGGATATTAATGTCTATGCTAAACTAATTTGTTCATGGGCTAGTCAGCTATTCATATAACCTTTACAATTTTCTGAATTCTATTTTTTGATTAAAAAAAGAAAAACTGATACCGCTTTCCAATAAACATTTGATTTAAATTGTTATGCCTTCAATATCTCATGTAAAATGCTAGTTTCATTACTACTGTATGTAAATATGTATAAAACAGAAAGTATCTGAGATAAGTCTCAATCAGTTTTGAAGTTTATTTTGCTAAGGTTAAGGATATGGCCAGAAGAAATAAGCATGAAATCACAGAAACAGTCTGTGGTCTGTGCATTTTTCCAAAGATGATTTTGAGGACTTCAACATTTAATGAGGAAAAATAATCTGGAGGGGAAAGAGAGAGGATATAGTAATCCATGTGTTGTAAGAGAAAAGGAGAATGTAGGAGAATAATCAATTATATTTTTGTCTTGTTCTCAGTAAATTGGCATTTTACATAAGATCATGTGAACATGGCATAGCTGCCTATGGAGATATTTTACCTTTCATCTGTAGCTGTCTGCTTAAGAACAGAAGGAAAGGTAGTTTCTTGCATGACTCAGCTTTCAGTTTATTATTATTATTTTTCTATGGCATAGTGAATTGAGTTCTCAAGTTTTTATTTCCCTGTCAGGTATCTTTTGGGGTATTTTTCAAAATTGCAATTTTAAAACATGCACCCTGAAGATTCTGGTAGCAAAAGATGTCATGTGAGACAAAATCTGTACTTTTTAAAAATCTCTAGGTGATTCTCTTCACAGTCCAATTAGGGAAAAACTGATTAAGGACTTTATACCAAACCAGACTTGCAAAAGAGAGATGCTAAAGCATTTGAAGACTATAATAACAAAATTTTAAAAATATATATTTATTTCAAGTATCCAATACTGACTACAGAATATAATAGACTTATTTCTAGAACTCATGAGTATACTTTTAGAAATCTTATAGAACACTTTTATGTTTTGGTGTCCAGGCTGTGTCATTTGGTCACAATTAGCTGGTATAAAAATATATATAGACTTATAGGTTATTTTTAAAAATAAGAGATTCTTCAAGAATAGACCTGCCTATCAAAGAGGAAGTTATAAAGGGTGCCACCCAAATCTACTTACTTTACAAAAATAGCTTAATTGTAATTAACATAACCTCAAAACAAATATTCAATTGAAAGAATTTTAAAAAACAAACTAAATAAAAAAAAATTATTGTACTTCTTAAAAGAAATATCTCAGGCCACAGTTCTTTATTTGTATACATTATAAGAGAAATAAACTGAAAAATCCAAACATTTTATTTCATTTTACAATACTCATGCAGTTGCTTGTTATTTTTATTGACACAGATGACATTCTAAATTATAAATGACCATTGACTTAAACTACGCTTAATGTCATGAAAATTCTACTTATCTAGTTAAAATATAATTCCTGATGTAAGGGTATTCTGAACTAAGTTTTGAAAACTTCAAAAAATGAGAAATAATCTCTAGATAATTCTTGTAAAATTATCATATTTCTTTCCTTAGCTCACTAGAAAAACATACATTTCAGGGACTTGGTAAATTAAATTAAAAATAACTTTTTCTGGGACTGTTTCTTTAAGTTTCACTCGTCAACAATGTTGCTATTCTTTTTATTTTATTTTATTTTACTTTATTTTATTTTATTTTATTTTATTTTATTTTATTTTATTTTATTTGGCAGAGTCGTGCTCTGTCACCCAGGCTGGAGTGCAGTGGCTCCATCTCAGCTCACTGCAATGTCCGTTTCCCAGGTTCAAGCTATTCTCGTGCCTCAGTCTCCTGAGTAGCTGGGACTACTGGCACGTCCCACCACGCCATGCTATTTTTGCATTTCTTAAAGTAGAGACGGGATTTCACGATGTTGGCCAGGCTGGTCTCAAACTCCTGACCTCACGTAATCCACCCTCCTCGGCCTCCCAGAGTGCTGGGATTACAGGCGTGAGACACTGTGCGTGAAGGGCCTAACAGTGTTCCCATTCTCAACTCATAGATTTGGTTTATAAAAGTCAGTCAGGTACTTTTCTAGACCATATAAATGTCAGTCACAATATTTATCAAAATAATCACTCACTTTAAATTTAGCTGTGTTTACAGACTATGAACCACTTATGCTTAGTTTGACAGAACAGATGTGAGGATCAATGTTTATCTTCATAATTATGTCATAAAGTTCTTATATCTCAAAGACTGTGTGCTTACATTCACAAAATTCTAAAACTCGACTTGTATAATTCGACAGATTTTCTTTTCCAACTGATGTGATGTAACAAGAGGAGCAACAAAAGAAGAATCCCAAGATAATCACGTAATTATGTTAGGAGAGATTCTCAGTTTGATCTAATCCTGTCTAAACAGGCTGAAAGAAATTAGTCACTCAGAATTATATAAAAGGCTCTACTGAGGTATGTAAAACAATCTGTGCTGATTTTTTCAACCTCTTGTTGTGCCATCCAGGATATATGAATAGAGTTAAACTAGAATGTCACTGTGAACTATTTCTTCAACTTTATCTTCTTAGGAAGTTTTGTAGTTGTTTAGGACTGGGGAGAGAACTTAAAGAAACTTGAGAAGAAATCACATATACAAGGGCACCTCACTTAAAATTGCTGAGCAATTTAAGCAAAAATATAGGGCATAGATATCGATGGACCAATAAATTGATCAACTCAATTGTATACATATATTTATACATACATATATACATATACATAAGTAGATTTACAACATCTTTCACATTATATGCAGATATTAACCATCAAATCTTTATTATGTAGAAAGAGTGACCACAAAAGATGCACCGATTTAATGTCTAATTCAATAAATAAATACCAGTTTCCATGCATGTGCCAGGTCTTCAGCTAGATTAAAAAAAAATACAATGTTGAATCAAATAATCAAAATTCATTCTCTTATGAAGAATTGCATTCTCAAGACAAAAGACTTAGATAAATGAAACAGCACAAGTGTGTGCCTGTGCAGACATGCATTAATTGGTGAAATAAAAATATTAAATATATAATATGCTAGGCATACTAGAGTGTGAACTAAATAATCGTGTTAAGTGTATGTAATGTATATTTTGTGTGTACATGTGTTTGAACATATGTCTGTATGCATATATATATATTTAATATATATGTACAGTACATGGCATTTTCTACTCATGTCATGGTTTATATCAGATAGTGACAATTCCAATGAAGAAAAAGCCAGAAGGCCAGATGTGGTGGCTCACACCTGTAATTTCAGCTCTTTGGGAGGCCGAGGTGGGTGAATCGCCTGATGTTAGGAGTTCGAGACCAGCTTTATCAACATTGTGAAACCCCATCTCTACTAAACATGCAAAAATTAACTGGACATGGTGGCAGGCACCTGTAGTCCCAGCTACTCGGGAAGCTGAGATAGGATAATTTCTTGAACCCGGATAGTGAGGAATAAGTTGCTGTGGGTTGAGGGTTTACTATTTTATTTAGAATAGACAGATAAATCTTGGTATGACATAATCTGATCCCAAAATTGGGTAGATGTTTCACGTCCAATAGGGCAGTGTGGACAGTTAAGTGCTTTGACTTTTGCCTTGAATGATAAAGAAAACCATTGTAGAGTTTTGAGAAGAAAAAGACAATTTGTCTTATGTGTAATATTAAAAGCCCTCTGCTGCAGTGAAGAGAAAAGATTGTAGAGGTAAATGAGCAAACAGAGAAAGCAGTTGGGGACCACTGTAGTAAATGGACTAGCCAGAGGATGCCAGTGGCTTGGGGAAGGTGGCAGCCTTATGAATTTTTCATAACTTTATAAAAGTCTCAATTCTTCATGGCACAGTCCTGTGGTATAAGCTCTCATTTCACATCGTGCATGTTTCCTCAATTCCCCATTTTAAATCCATATACTAAGATATTTCTTAGTATATGATATTGAGGTATATTTTATTTTAAATATATGATATTGAGGTATATTATCTTTATGAACTACTTTATATATCAATATATATTTAGACTATATTTTTAATTATACTGTTTCTAAGTGTTCAATTCTTGTATAATAATTGTAGAATATTTAGAGATGAGAGAAAATGAAGATCATCTTTAATTCTACCATCTGAGCCTTTGCATTCTTTTGTTTTGAATACATACGTGCGTATATGTGTATGATTATGGTCACTATAAAAATAGATTGTTGTCTGATTTTTGCACACACAGGAAAATTTATATATACTTAAATATGCCTAAATACTCATTATGTTTTAAAACATAATTTTATTATTTAGTAAATAATAAAATACATACATAAATAACAAAATTATTATTAATTATTTTAGTCACCAATTAATTACTGAGTACTTAATATAGGCAGGGCCTATTCTTTGCACTTGAAATACATCAGTTAACACAGCTAGGAAGAAGAAAGTGCCGGTACACATAAAACTTATGTTCTCGTGGCAGAAGGTAACCAATAAATGATAATAAATAATAATCAATAAATAATTGTAACATTATGATAGAAGGTGATGATTTTCTTGCGAATATATAGAACTACATAAAAAGGATTTAAAAAGAGGTTGAAATAAACCGTTAAGTTGGCCTCATTAAGAAGAGATTGCAGTTAAATTTTTTTCATTATTATAAAGAGTATGTATCTTTGTTCATAATTTTTGTCTAAACCTATGAAATTGTTCTTGGATACATTCCTAGAAAGGGAATTAATGGGTTTAAGAGAATATTTTTGAGCATTGTCATCTTACTATATTTTAAAGCAATTTATGCACATACCAGCAGAGTTCAAGTTATTATTTCAATGTCCATGCTACTGATATTTAACAAAATCAAACAATAAATTTTCCAATTTCTTTTTGATTTTTCATTATTGTTATCTTCATTTGTATTTCTTGAATTGTTTGATGCACCACTCCCCTTTAAAGATGTTAAAGAATTTACTGTTTCAATTTATTATTTGCGTAAAAGGCTATTGATATTCTTTGTTTGGTTTGTCTATTTTATTTTTCTACTTTTTGTGTTCATCTGTAGGCATTTTTAAAATAATGATATTCTAGGTTTGATACACATGATAAAATATTTTTTCTCATTTTTACATTCCTTTTTAAGATACATTTTGGGAAGCTGATCACACATATTTTTATATTTTATCAAGTCTCTAAATTCTTCTCATTGAATTTATTATATTGCTTGAGTAGGAATCTGTTTATAGACTAAAGTCAAACAGTTATATGTATTTTCACCTAGAATTTATTGTT